GGAAGGGCTGGGGCGGGGGCGGAGGCCGGTGGGGGAATGGGGGGAGCAGGGATATCTGTAACACTTTCAACAATGAAGATGCATTTTTTAAAAAGCCAGACACCAAACGTAACTTATTGTGTGATTCTGTTTATGTGAAGTGTCCGGAACAGGCCAATCTATGGAGCCAGGAAGTACCCAGGGCTGGGGGAGGGGTGGGGAGTGACTGAGGCCCCACCCAGGAAAGGCAGCTGTGGGCACACGGGCTAGGGTCCGGCGGCAAACATGGGGACTCGGCACGGAGGAGAGAGCAGCAGCGGCCCCACCACCACAGGGTCCCGGCCAGCTCCTCATGCCTGTGCTGGAGGACGAGGCCTGAGCGGAGGAGGCCGAGCACAGAGCCCTGTACCCACAGACCCCTCCCCCGGTGTGAAGACCCCTCCCCCTGATGTGGAGACCCCTCCCCCAGTGTGACGATCCCTCCCCCTGGTGTGAAGACCCCTCCCCAGTCCACCCCGCTGACCACCTCTCTGTACCCATCTCCCACGGCTCCTGACAGAGGGCCTCATCCAGCCTCCAGGCTGAGCCCCCACTGGTGGTCACGGCTGAGGCCAGGAGGGCGCCCTGCAGGCATGGTCCTAGTGAGAGAACTGCCGGTGGTGACAACACACCGGCCCGTGGGAATCACCGAGGCGAACCCCGCCCCCGCCCTGCCGATGTCAAGGGAGGAGCGGGCACAGCTGGCTGATCTGCTTTGTCTGGATAAGTCGGGGGAGGGGAGCCAGGGACCCAGGACGCCTGGAGTCCGCGGAGGTGCCCAGGCGCGGGGGCCCATGGGTCGGGGCCTCGGGGGAGAGGAGCACCTGGAGGGAGGGCAGCGCCCAGAGCACCCCCTGAGGATCTCGGGTGGTCCCAGCACCCCGGCGGCCCGGGGCCCACACCTCACTGAGGGTGAGTGCAGCCCACGGGGGTCGAGTGGTCAGGTGGGCACCCTCGGGGCAGCAAAGACAAAGCCACGCGCATCACCACTGTCCAGCCCACCCACACGCTGGTCACACCAGGGCCAGGATGGGGCGGGCCACGGGCTTGGCGCTGCCACCACCTGAAAGGCACCTGTGTCCTCAGGGGCCAATGGGGACGTTTCTGGGCGGGATGTCGCCACCGTGCCCAGGAG